GAAGCCCTGTCAGCAGTGACAGTACACTGTGGGAGGGCTACATTTTAAGGTAAGTATTTCGTAATGTGCTAGCATGTAACACATACTATCATATTATGATATTACCTTGCAGCAGGAATTTTTTTTTTTTGTTGTCTTCACGGGACTGAGTTTGAGCTCTGAAGTCACTTTCACAGCCGTTGTTTTCTTATTCCGGGTCACAATCCTGTGCAATGCCCTTTTTTCTCTTTCCGTCAGTTGACCATGTCAATCGCTTATCAGACGACGTTTTCCCGGAAATTGTATATGCAGTCATAACCTTTGATATTGTACCTTGCAACGCAAATAAACTGGCAACTTCAGTCACAGAGGCACCAGCTAACCAGCACCAACAATTTGCCCTCTTTGAAGCTCAGTAAGCTCTGACATGACTCCTCATGACTCAGTGGATGACGAAAGTGAGGCTTCCCGACTGTTAGCTAGGTGTCTCATCACACAGCGGAAGCAAAGGAATGATACACCACTTCCACTTTCAATGTTGTCACTTTTATACATGCAAATCATGTAGTGTTTCCATTTTTTTGTCTAACCACTGTATATTCACAAAACATCAGAAAAATATTTACAAAAAAATCAAAATTTTTTATTATAATATATCAAATTTGTTATCCAAAAAATGAACACTCCCATATAAGGTTTCAGAGGCATAATGCATGTTAACATATAGGGGTTTATTTACTAAAGCTGGTTCACCCAGAATCTAGTGCATCTGTGCATGGTAGCCAATCAGCTTCTAACCTCAGCTTGTTCAATTAAGCTTTAGCAATAAAACATGTAAGCTGATTGGTTTCTGTGCAGAAGTGCACGAGATTCTGAGTGAACCAGCTTTAGTAAATAAACCCCATATTGTCCATATATACTACCCTTTCCCTTGATCATTAAAATTGTACTGCTTCTGGACAATTTTACACTACTAATGATGGGCGAATCTGCTTGGGTATGATTCGTAGGCACACTGCACACAATCCACAAACTGAGAACTTTTAATGAGGCTTAAAGTGAAACATTAAAACTTCTCATTTCCTTTAAAGAACTCTGTAAATTAAGTTTGGGTAAATGACTCCAACCCCTCCCCCCACCCCCACAATAATTAGAGGAGGTTTCTTCAGGGTCTTTTTTTTTTGTAATCTGGTGGCCTTGCCTTCCTCCACCATTCTGGTGTAGGCCAAAATCATGTGTGCTGCAGCCCCTTGGGGAACTCCCGTCACATATCCCAGGGGTGCTGGAGCTCATTCACAGAAAAGACAGGGGGGAATTGCAGCTTCATTGGGGCTTGGCTGCCTGAACCTGCAACAGGTAGCCAGCTGAAGAGGAGTTTAACCCAGCATAACTGGTGATTGGGGATGGGGGGTGAAGTTCCACTTTAAATAATATGTTTGGGGGATGCCTTAAACCCGCCTGTGAAGCTGCGCATCTCCACAATGTACTTAAGCAAAAGTGACATTTTGAAATATAAAAAATATAATTTGATGATAAATTATATTTCCAGCCAGCTTTGTACTTTTTCTTTAAGAAAGATGTTTTCAAGGCTAATAGGCAAACCATTGATCTCTGCATCCTGCACCCCCAAGCCTCCCGCCTGCATTCTCCACGCCCAGCTCTCTAAGCTTCTTAAGCAGCTGAAAATAGAGATCATGTGATCACCTAAAACTTAAGAAATATATTTTTTATTTTTTTTAAATGATACACAAGTGTTTAGCCTTTTCTATTATAAACTTAATGGGTTGTTTTAGAATGTGAGAGTACACATATACTTTAAAGGATTTAGGTATTTTTAGTGTTGCTGCCAAAAGCTGCATAAAAAGGACCTCTCATCACTGTATGATATTTCCAAACCACTTTTTGCAGTGGTACATGTCCCCCATGGCATTTCCCAGCTCCCATGACTTGTCTGAGGATTTACTCCTCCTCCATAGAATTCAATAGTATTTGCCAGTAAGTTCAGGTTTTCCAAATTTCAAAGAAGTTTCACTGAACCCTCATCAAATTGAACCCGACAGATTCACTTAATATGACTTTTGAGCAATACAACCAATGTGATATTTGTAGCATAAGGACAAAGAATAAATTTCATTGCTATTGTCTCAATAGAAATATACAGTATGTGTTTCAGAAACCTGTATTAGAGACTGAAAACCTCAACTGAAAATTCTCCAAAAATGTGGAAGTGTGCCTACATTTCTTTTTGTAATATTACACATGAATATCAGCGCAGGTAGAGCAGTTTTTTCCAAATCTTCCCTCAATGACTTTGAGAAAAAAGTCTCATGTCCCTAGGAACTCTTAAGAAAACCAATATAGGCTACACAAATGGCAAAGACATTTTGCTTAAGATGGGTACACGTGGGCCACAAATTGTTCAAAAGTGGTCGGTTTGACAGGAACCGGCCAACTATTGGTCCATATGTACAAGCCCCTCGTCCAACAGAAACCGGTCTCACTCCAGGGGCTGCAAGTGCTGATCAGTGTATTCTGGAGGGGGGCAGTCCCCCTGTCAGAACACAATAGATCACCAGGGGAGATCATTGCACTAACATCAGATGTGTTATTACGGCAATCTGTAAGTTTTTTCGTTCAGCCCTCTGGGTTGAGCAAAAATCCAATTCCCATGTGTACCTAGCATTGATGTGGAAGTTTAATTTTCTTCATTCTAGTTTCAACTTTCAGGTTAATTTGACAAAATGGGTGATCAGCTAAATGAATAGGTCATAGAGTAACTGTAACTTTCAATTTACATAAACGGTGCAAAGTTAGAAGCAATAATGCAAAACAGATTCAGAGTGACACCAAAAATAAGCATACATTACAGAATAATAGAAAAACAGGTTATGAAAGCAGCACAAACGTGAATTTGTTAGTGGGGACAACTCACCCTTACAAGTTGGGATTCTTCTATGAATGTGCTCAATAATGCCTGGGACCAGGTAGGACCGTGCTCATGTGGCATCAACATTAAGACGGCACTCTGTGTTTAGAAGTGAGCTGTTTACCTTGCACAATTACACATTACTTTGAGGCTCCTATGCTGTGAGACACTCTTCCTGTAACACTGCATATCTTTTTGTTCTAACTGCAGTATTTCAAGAGGGACATCTGTGTCCCGCTCTACCAGCCTGGTTTTCCGGTCACTCCACTCTCAGTCCCAACGTGCACTAAGTGTGGACCTTTATACATCTACAATTTAACTCCTTTAGCTCTCTCCCGTAACTGTGGTGAAATTCATGGAGTCTCCGTGCCGCACATTTGGTCCTGAATGCGCCAGAGGAATCAACCACTAGGGAGGGAGTCAAAGCACCAACGCAATTGCTACCAGAGGACCTGTCAAAAATACCTGGAAAAGGTCTGAGACACAGCTAACCCTTCGTGTCCCAGGAAGCCCAATCTATCTGTGCAATTAATACAACAGCATTAATATATTCAAGGATGCCCTGTAAGCGCCTGCTTACAGACTCTTCACATCAATGTTTTTGTGGTTGAATCAAGGTAATGAGACTGCATAGCATAGTCTCTACAAGAGTCTATACCAATAGTCAAGCTAAGAATCACTATTTCAGTGAAACAGTTGAAAACACTCAAGTATTGGTTTTCCCCAATAACAGCATACCTCTAAGTGAAGTCCAGTGTAGCTTTCTTAACACAGATTAACAAGTGGAGGTATCCAAAGGCCAAAGGCACACACCCTCCCACCCCCACTGAAACTGCAGTACTCTGGTAGTAGGGTGTTTTGGAGTAGCTGTGTGCTATTAGGCTTTGACCCAGCTGCCCCCCACATGATGGTTCTGACAGTAAAGGGCCTCTCACCTGGCTGAAGATCACGTGCCTAGTTACCTCTGCCTCATCAAGTGAATTGCTGAGAAAGGAAACCTAAGAACCCTTGGCATGTCCAGAAACCGAGAGAGTTGTTGGAAAAGGAATTAAAAGGGGCCTATTCTTGCATCTGGATATGGAGCGTAAATAGGCACTCCACTACACTAACCTGCTTAGACTTTATCTCTGTATATAACATACCCGTGCTCTAGACCTTGACAAGCTATCATTTTGCCAGGATGTCAGCCAATTATATTTTTTTCTTTCATCAAAGTTTCTCTGTGGCTCCCCTCTTAGGCAACTGAAATATACCTACTATTTTAGGTACTGCCCTAGGTATCTAGTACTGCCCATTATTGCCTGTATTGACAATGACAAAATATACCTTCATGCACATCTTTGTAGTAACTTCCGACCAAGCATGGTCATATTAAGCTGTTATGAAGGTGTTGTATTTAGCCTTCACAAAAACCTAAATTATTTGTGATGGGAATTTAACATTGTTATGTAACTCTTGTAGAGGGATTTTGACTGATGCATTAGCCAAATGTGTTCAGCCCTAGAAGCACACCGACAAACTAAGGCTCTGTCTAGAGGTCTTTTTGGAGATTTACTGCAGCTCTTGAACAAATGTGGGGATGAGGCAGAGGGTGCAGGATACCAAAGGCACAGTTCTTACTCAGCAATCTTTGGTATCTAACCCTCAAAATAACACCTCAGTACCTAGAGCTCTGGGTGAAAGCATCTATTCACAAGGTTCAGGTGGCACTTCCTATCCAGCTCCCCTGCAACACTCTTCAGTGAAGATTTTTTTTCTATAGCCCAGCTTCTACAAGTAGCATCTTTCAGGCACATGGCACCTGCTGAGGCCCAGTAGCAGTAGGTTTTTTAGAACACACTCACATGCTTCCTCCCAGGGAGGGAGCCCCAGAGGAGAGAGAACTCAGATCAGATCCTCCCAAATATGTATCTTCTCCCCAGCCATGTGTACTTGGTCAGCTTCCGAGCAATTGGCTAGGTTCAGATAACTATTCATAGCCTAGCAATTGATCCTCCCACACTATTTCTGGAACATTCTTCCAGAGGCCAGCAGAAGCAATCAGCCATCATATTAACCACTTGCCTACGGGCACTTATATCCCCTTCTTGCCGGGATGGGCACTGATAGGCAGCACTGATGGGCACTGATAGGTAGCACTGATGAGCTGGCACTGATGAGGCAGCACTGATGATGCTGCACTGATATGCAACAATGATGGGCACTGATAGGTGGCACTGCTGGGCAGCACTGATGGGTGGCACTGATGGGGGGCACTGCTGGGCATTGATGGGTGGCACTGCTGGGCACAGGTGGATGGTACTACTAGGCACTGATGGGCGCAGGTGGGTGGCACTGCTGCGCACTTGTGGGTGGCATTGCTGGGCACAGGTGGATGGTACTACTAGGCACTGATGGATGCAGGTGGGTGGCACTGCTGCGCACTTGTGGGTGGCACTGCTGGGCACAGGTGCTGGGCACTGATAATCAGTGCCCTGATGATCGGTGCCGATCTGTCCTCTGACAATTGCTGGTTATCGGCAGTACTTTCCTCATGCTGTGACAGCGTGAGGAAAGTGCAGCTGATAACTGGCAACTGCATTTACCGGTGATCGACTGTGTCATTCGACACAGCTGATCATGTGGTAAAAGGCTACTGTGATTGGCCTTTTACCACATCACATGATCAGCTGTGTCACGAAGATCGCTAGGTGCGTGCACCCAGGGTGCGTTCTGGGAGGATGTCATATGACTCCCTCTCAGAACTGGACAACCGAGCTGTAGTCGTCAATCGGCTATAGCGCAGTTCGCAAGTGGTTAAGGGATTCACTCAATCAGACCTGAAAAATTATTTGAAGCTCAGCTAACTACAGCAGAGCTATATACTAAATTTAGCCAGGCCAACACAGAGAATATGGGCAATAATTTCAACTCACAAATGATGGGTGTGACGAACGCGGCGTTAGACCCCAGCCCTTCTCACCAAACTCGTGACCAAAGGACTAGCCAATCTAAAACCGCGCTGTCACGTGCGTAACAATGCCACACCCAGCTGCACTCTGCACAAAGATTTTCCAGCTAATGGACCACAATCTATGTATCTGCAGCCTGGGAGCGATTGTTACTGGGTCAGGTTAATTATGCAATTAACCCTTCACACTGCCACCACCTCCTTTTTGTACAGGGAAAGAGGAAACTCGGCAATATCAGCAATAGCACTAGGATGTTTGCATAAGCGTCGGTATACCACTGTCACCGCAGGCAGAGATATACCGAAGTTTTAAAACACACACACAGTAGCGTTCTTCAGAGGCAGGGGTACTTAGTCTGCATTAAAGAGCTTTAGAAACAGTTCAACACTTTCAGAAAGTAAGATTTATTACTAAAAGGTCAAAAGGGTGCAATAAAAATATTTACAGAAAAAGATGTAGCCAATATACAATAGCACAGCAAAGAGATAACAGAAAGGAATTTAGATAGATAAAGTACTTTCCGAAAGCCTTGGTTTAAACAGCTTTCAAGTATCCTGAGCCAAAAGGGTGCTTTATTTCCCAAAGTTGGTTCCGATGTTACAAGGGAGAATCTTCAATTTAGCTCAACTCAGCTCAGCTTTCTGCTCCAAGCATAACAGCTTTTCTAGCAACTCAGCAGGGTGTCTCCCTGAAGCAGAGAATCAATCGTCTCATTTGGGGAGGGAGGTGTAGGTGGAGACCCCAGCTAGGACCAAAATCCCTCCCAAGTTGATATCAGGGCAATAACTTTCCCCGGATACATATAACATTCTATCCACGAGTATATTAATATGCAGAATCATCTGCTGAACGTCTAGATATGAAATATGACATACCTGCTGGGATGGTTGAGGAGATATCATTTTCTGCTCTCCTGTAGCTGTCAGCTAGGGGGTGTAACCTATCAGGCAACTTGTATTAAAGTGAGCGGTCTGAATATATGCCTGGTTTTTATGTAAGTCTCTCATATTCCAAGATATGTAATCATAGGGGAAAGTGGGTCTTGAATGTGATGTCTGCTTTATGGCTTATCTGGAATGTCTTTGAACTCAGTGAAGGAATTGGTTTATGGCTTTACGATCCTTCTCCAGCAAGAGTCTTGCAGACATATGGGTGCCAGGCTAATTGGGGTTTATAGCCATGAGCTCCCCCGCTGGGCCTTGATGCCTTTTTGAACTCAGCATCTACGGACCACGTGTCACTCAACAGAGAGGTAGGTTGGATAAGGGAAGCTGATTTGGGAGTAGAAAATGATCGAAGATGGAGGCCTTTACCAAAATGGGGGTTTGCATCCATCTCTGTGTGCACGATTGCTACAATGGGCATTAATTTTACCATAGGCATCATAAGCAGCAACTCCACCACAGGAAATATGGGCAGTAATTAAAACTCACACGATATGGCCAGTAATTTTAACACAGGCAACATGGGCAGTCATTTTAGCACAGGCAATATGGACACTAATTTCAACAGAGGCAATATGGGCAGTAATTTTAACAAGGCAATATGGGCAGTAATTTTAACAAGGCAATATGAGCAATAATTTCAGCACAGGCAATAGGGGCAGTAATTAAACTACACACAGTATGGGTAGTTATTCTACCACAGACAGCATGAGTAGTAATTTTACCAGAGGTAATATAGACAGTAATTCTACCACAGACAGTACAGACAAGGATTCTACTACAGTATATTAGTTCCAACACAGACCACAGGCAATATGGGCAGTTATTTCAAAACAGACTGTATGGGCAATAATTCCAACATAAAAATTATGGGCAGCAATTTTACTACAGGCAATATGGGCAGCAATTTTACCACAAGCAATATGGGCAGTAATTTTACCACAGGCAATATGGGCAGCAATTTTACCACAAGCAATATGGGCAGTAATTTTACCACAGGCAATATGGGCAGCAATTTTACCACAAGCAATATGGGCAGTAATTTTACAATAGGCATTACGGGCAACAACTTTACCACATACAGTATGGGCAGTAATTTACCACATACAGTATGGGCAGTAATCTCTGCTCAGGTAGTATGGTTAGTAATTCCACCACAGGCAATATGGGCAGTAATTTCAACACATACAGTATGGGCAGTAATTTTACCACATACAGTATGGGCAGTAATTTTACCACATACAGTATGGGCAGTAATTTTACCACATACAGTATGGGCAGTAATCTCTGCTTAGGTAGTATGGTCAGTAATTGCACCACAAGCAATATGGGCAGTAATTTCAACACATACAGTATGGGCATTAATTCTAGGCAGTATGGTCAGCAATACTACCACAAGTAGCCTGGGCAGTAATTCTACCACAGATCGTATGGACAGTGTTTTCACCACAGGCAGTATGGGTAGTAAGTCCACCACAGACTGCATGAGTAGTAATTCTAAAACAGACAGTATGGGCAGTCATTTTTACTCAGGCAGTATGGGCAGATATTCTGCCATGGCCAGTACATTCAGTAAAGGGCAGTGCAACATACAGATACTTTAGTAGTTCCACAACCCCCATACTTTCCCCAAAGAAGTAAAAAAGAATGAAGCTGGAAAATCAGCATAACAGCTAAGGAACTAACGCCTTTTGATGGGCATTATTATTATTATTATTATACAGTATTTATAAAGCGCCAATAGTTCACTCAGCGCTGTACATTACAAAGGGGGACAGAACATGTGACAGAACAATACCAATACAATGCAAAACATGAGGGGATCGAGGGCCCTGCTCTTTCGAGCTTACAATCTAGAAGGGACGGGATAGTGGTACAGGAGGAGATAGCTGTGGGGGATGGAGTGGTAGGAAGAGTGGAGGAGGTCAGCAAGTTAGCAGGGGGTGAGGTAGGCTTCCCTGAAGAGATGGGTTTTCAGGGTACGCCTAAAGGAGAGGAGAGTAGGTGATAATCTGATGGGTTGGGGAAGGGAGTTCCAGAGGATGGGTGACACCCTGGAGAAGTCCTGGAGGTGGGCATGGGAGGAGGAGACCAGGGAACTAGAGAGAAGGAGGTCTTGTGAGGAGTGGAGTGTGCGTGCTGGGCGGTACTTGGATATTAGGTCAGTGATGTAGTTCGGGGCAGTATGGTGGACAGCTTTGTACGTCAGTGTTAGGATTTTAAATTTGATCCGTTGCGCAATCGGAAGCCAGTGGAGGGATTGGCAGAGGGGGGTGGCGGAAATGGAGCAGTTGGAAAGGTGAATGAGTCTGGCAGCCGTATTCAGGATCGACTGAAGCGGGGATAGCCAGCGGCGAGGCAGGCCAGTGAGTGAAATACATGGCATTGACAACGCCATGTATTTCTCTCATAACAAATTCCTTTGGAGTTACGGAGAGATTTGATTTTATATATGGAACATTTATTATAATCAGGCATGGTAAAACAATACTTTCTGTAAGTAAATGTGTAGTTGCTTTGTGTGTACGAGTTAATTTCTCTTTTAACATTTGCAATTTCAATGATATACTTGTGTTGCTCACAGTCTGAGCTTGTTGTATATTGTTTGTTGTTCATGAATTAATTAATTTTTCTGTCTCTCATGCCACACATATTAATGTTATTACCAGAGGTTATGTCCAGAGCATATCAAGGAAAGACTTTTTAGGAAACGTCTTTTAAAAGTTTAAGAACTTTTCCTACACTCCCTGATTCCAATATACGCCATGCATAGCCTTAATATATAGAGTGAGGCCTGATCTCACAGGACTCCCCCATCACACACCCACACACTGTATCCCTCCGTAACTAAACTGTATGATCCCCAGACAGCTTGTGATGGCTTTATGATGAACTGCATACAGGTGCAATCAGCTGAGAGCGGCTCTCTTATTGCCTGAGACCCTGGGCACAGACAAAGCTCAGCACCATGTATCCAGCAGTAGGCATGGGATAAGAGCTTGTAAAACATTTGTTTTAAGTCTTAAAATATCAAATTCCTCACAGCTCGTAATTGCAAGGCCTGAGCTGAGAATGTTTTTGTGATTAAAATAACCCAATAGGGACAACAATGTAACAAATCCATCCTAGGCCGTCTAAGGGTGACAGCAATACTGCATTGTGATTGGTCATGATAATGTTTAGCAGTGTTCTCAAATTGCCTGGTTAACCCATGGAAAGTTAAATAGATGCAACAGTCCAATAAACTGAATAGTTAAAGGGGTTCATGTGGAACTTTATCTAGCATGTCTAACCCTCACCCACAGAAGACATTCTCCCAGGTGTTGGGATGAAAAGGATCATTGTGACTGGTCTGCTCTGCTGGCACCATGAGTCTCACTGCCTGAAGATGCACAAGACACGTCTCCCATCTAATACCTGTCTTGAGTTTCCCAGGTAGCACAGAGGATCTCTGTCACACGGGGGAGAAGTTCCCTTGTAAAGTGACTCAAGGCCTCCTTGATTAGCCCATTGCACAGTGGGACAAAGCAATGTTTGGCATTCCACACTCTGACCATAATTGAAATTCATTACAAACTCAATAGGTTTGGGTTCTCAGCTCAGTCGAGTGAAGTGGCTTTGACAGCTTTGGAAGTCACCTCTTCAGAAAGGCTGCCCCAGCAATCAGCTAGTCGCTCATGCATGGATATTGCCAGTGAAATCACCTTTAAATGACTGTCAACGTTTTTGCCAGGTTCACAGAAATCTGTATCCCTTGGCTCGCTTTCCCTGTTCACACCAATATCTTTCTACATCACAGCTTCCTCTAGATATCAAGCTCAATCATTTTTTTATTTTTTATTTACTTGCAGAGCGAAACATAGAAACATTAAATATGCAGCATATTGGTTTATAGACCTTCGCTGTGAAAACCATTGTTAAAATGTAAATGAACAAGGAGCATCTTTTCCCTGTCGTTAGGGCTACATTTAGAGCTGCAAAATGCACAGTTGAGCTGCATTTTGTCTGGCTACCAGTTGCCCCCCCTGTTAAGCTGCAAATTGCAACAGACAGGGGTGTTTATATGCCGCGGTCGCAATACTTTGCTTCATTCCAGCGGCAATGTTTACCCAACATGTAGCATTCACAGACTTGAAGAAATTGGGGTAGCATAGTGCACACGATTGCAGGGTGTTTTCCAGCAAAAATGGGGTAAAACAGGTGGTGAGGAGGCGTCACATCACTTCCTCACAGCCTAATAGTGGCCTCTGAAGTGCAATTTGAACATGGATTGGGCTTCAGAAGAAAGGGAGATTTAGACACATGTCTAAATCTACCCTTAATGTTTGCTTGTTTATGACACTGAGCCTAGTTCTATCCACCATGTTCACAGCCTTCTGCTCTAAATGCTAGCAGTCAAGCATTCCGATCATGTGAATGCTGTGATAGACTGTCATGGCATTCACATGATCGGAAAGCAGGGGTGGACTGACAACTCATGGGGCCCCCGGGCAATAGGGGATCATGGGGCCCTTGTGTCCTTGCCCAAACTCAAAAAAGCCTATGAAAAAGGTACCATGGGCATCTCATGGGGCCCCCTACTGACCCCAGGCCCTCGGGCAGTGCCCGAGTTTCCAAATGGTCAGTCCGCCCCTGTCGGAAAGCTTTCCTTTACTCGCTGGTTACTGTGCTTTGAGCATGCAGGGCGCATGCTCTCAGCACAGTAAAGTGTTTACTTAAGGACACTTATTTGCATCCGCTCTGCATGAAAGCCCACCCGCCAAGGGACTGCATATATCCATACGGCTGACGGGAAGTTGTTAAAAGGCTTTTAAAAGAGTCTGAATTTTATTTATTGTTACATCTATGTTGCAGGCTAAGGAGAAAGATTAGTTGGGTCAGAAATCTTCCCTTAAATAGCAACAATGTAGTATTCTTTACATTTTGTAGCAATAAATTTTTTTTAAATCTAACCCAGATTTAAAATGCAAAAATATACTGTATATCACATACATTATATGTTCATTCTGCAGTGTATTTCAATTATTTCTAGCCTACTTCTTTCATGGGATATGTAGTCCTTAGAAATTAAATGTAAACAGCACAGAGGAAGTTGCAATGCATGCAGAGAATTCTGGAAGGTGTGGAAAGAGATGGCCAACAGAGAGGTAGATGTCACAATATAAGTAAGCTTGTACTGGATTATCAAACATTACTATTGTTTGTACTGCTATTACAATGCTGATGTTAAAAAATTATTAAATATAAAAATAAATTAAGTGTATGCTGTAACTTTAGAATTCCTTTAATGACAATCAACATGGAATCAAACTCAACCCAGATACTTAACTCTCACAGTGCTGCCATCCTGATTGAAATGAGCTAGATACAGTAGGTGCTGTCCCGGATTGGAGCATAGGGGTTAATGTCCTTCCCCGTTCTTTAGCTTTTGGCGGGATCACCTGTGGGTATAAAAGAGGACAGTGGGCTGAATCCAAGGGCCATCACTGCTGTTGCCATTGTCTAGTCTTCTTTTCTACGGTCCTGCCTTTCTCCCCAGTTCCTTGAAGAGAGTTGCACCTGGGAGAAGTACAAGGATGCCACCATCTGTCACCAAGATGTGAAGTCGTCAGAGCTTGGGGTTCTCCCCAAAGATACCAGCTGATGGAGAATGCTTCTGATGGACTCTGTAATTACATGAACTCTAGCTTTGCAGGTATGCCAAGACAGCACATAGCTTCAGTAGTATTAGGGATTAAGGACTTAAGAAAAAACTGTGTCATGCTGCACTTTGTACTGTTGCACTTTATTCAGTAAAGCGTTGAAAATGTCCCCTTTTCCTGTCTGAAATTACTAAAAGTTGTGTACTGCAAGTAACCAGCACAACGTTGCACTTAGTTTACAGCTTTGGTCACTAGTACAAGGGGTATGAAAAGTCAGCACATTAAGAGTCATTCTATAGCAAGTTATACATGTGGTTGCCATGAGAAACAGAAGGTACAGTTAGTAAGCAGCCTCTTATAGGTAGAATTGCCTCTAGCCATGATGGAGATGTTGTCAGCACTTCCTTTGCCACATTTTGGCTACCACAGCAAACGGAGTGGAACTGCACTGAAGAGGTCCCCATCCTGTACATAGGTATGGAAGTTAAAGTCAAGTGCACGTTGGATGCCGCACTATATGCATGTCGGTGTTCCATGTTGCTACCAGAACCGGCAATGGGAAACGCTGGACAGGTGGTCAGTGTTCGGCACTGCCCACATATTTCCAAGCTATCATGGTTAGATGTACATTTACGTGTTGACCCAAGAATCAACTGGAATACAGTTGTGCTGTAAATGTACATAGTGCAAGTTCATCTCTAAGAATAGAGGCCCATCTTAAGGTTGAGTATTCCCTGATGGCAACCTCAGCCTTGTTCCAGGGAATTGGTGAAAACAGTACAGAGCAAAGTTAGCCCATGTATCTGCTCCTGCTCTCTATCTAACAGCCCTTGTCTCCTCCTCCCATGCTCATCTCCAGGACTTCTCCAGAGCATCCCCCATCCTCTGGAAAGAGACCCTGTATAAGGTACCTTGCATAGCCCAGAAGAACCCACCCTGGGGTAGGCCTCTCATGTTACAACCCTTGCTTGGCACCCAACGAGGAGGGAAACATGGAGGATGTGACAAACAACCACTATCCTACCCTTACATTCCCTGAGATTACATATGAGAACAAATACTGCCATACCAGGATTACAGCACATTGCACTGGAGAGCCAAGCATATCACAGTAAAGTTATCAACTGTATTTTCAGCAACCCTAAAACTGTTAGCCAGTCTATACATACAAAAAAATATATACTTTGAAAGCCTTTTTGTTGGCCACTACACTGTAGTACACAATCTTTTTATGCATAACGTATGTCTTGTGTCAACAGGTGTTTGTTTATACTTGGCATGAGTGGTCCAAAATCCAAAATCTTTTGAGAAAGTTCGTTCTTGGATGCTTTGGTCACAGTGCTTTTTGAGTCACTGCCTTGAAATGAACATGGGGATGTATAAAGATAGGTAAGTTTGACAATTCTAATCTGCAGTCATCTATAGTATGCTTGTTCCGGGTCATTGGCTCAAAAAGTGTTTTCACCTCCAAACAGATATTGTATCTCTCTACTTAATTCCACGTGATATTTCCAGATTCCTCGTGTACCTCAAAGAAATAAACTCAAAATAGTGTATTACCTTTTATATAAATTATCAACCTGCAAAAACACACATGAAGGAAAAAATAAAAAAATATTATTTCTAATTTTATATAATATAAAATAAATAATGTAATAAAAATGAATAATATAATAATCCTGTAAATATACTGCCACATACCATGTTATGGTTCAGTTTCTCCTAAAATGTAGTTGCTTGTGTGTAAATGTCACACCTTTGCCATAATAAAGTTAAAAGGAAATGATTTTTAGCTTGAGTTTTGTTTTGCTCATAGGACTTGATGTTTCAGTCCTCATGGTAGGTTGGCACTCTTGTTAATGAGATTGGTGTGGTAAAAGGGATAGCTACATCATCTGGGTCATCAGGTGGGCAGCCTTCTTTTTTGACATTTCAACTATGTCTCCAGAGGGCCGAAAGTTGTTACCTGGAATTCCAGTTCCATACCCTCCTGTCTCGTCATACTGTAAGTATAGTGGCAGACCAAAACACAGTTTCACATATGTGCTGATTTGTCTTTGCATTGGATTCTTGAGAGTATGCTAAGCTAAAGGACACCTCAGCATGAGTTTTCCCGACAACAAGGTTTTGTTGCTGTTATCTATATGCATGATGATATTTTTTTTTAGTTGTTCAGAATGTTCAATGACCGTTGCCCAAACTCTTCAATGGTATTTCTAAAATGGTTGGGAAAAGTGTTCGGTCAATACCTTTGTTCTCCATTTTAATTAAGCTTTTCCAGAAGTTTCTTAGTGCAGGGTACAGTTGTCACCAGTTTTGTTATCCATATAAGCTTGTATTGGTGGCAACCCTAACCAGATTGTAGTCATTCTCTCCTCCCACCACCCATTTAGAGGCTCTGATGCCATAATGAAAGCCAATAGGGATATGGTGCTCCCCACCAAAAGCCACCTCCAGTGATTGACAGTCTGATATTGTGTTGCAAATTCAAATATTCAAAGACAGGCCACAGTTGAATATGAAAGACTGATCCAAGTTGAGGAACAAGACATGTAGCAAACAACAGATGCAGTTCAACAGAACAGTTTAGAAAAGAAAGGTAAGTATGCAAAAAAAAAAAAACCATAGTATGTCATCCTCCAAAGCCTGGCAGCTCTGGCTCTCACAGACAGTATAAGCTCACTCTTAAAAGGATTACCAGGCAGTAAGGGGAGCAAAAGTATTTTCACTGCGGACCAAAAGTTTCTTGCTCTTTAGGATTCATTTAGTTCTTTCAGAGACTTTCAGCCATGCACCACTTTGAGTATACACGCATACATCTAGTGGGATACACATCCAGTGCATTGGGAAAAAGCTGTAATGTAATGGAAAACAGTGCAACAAAGACTTTAAAGGGACATTAAAATGTGGGAGCTACCGCTTAGATAGGTGGGGATGCTTTAGTGGAGAAGTAGGGTCACTATGAGAGTGTGGCGCGGTAAGTATACTTGCTGGGGAAGGGGGGGCTATGTGCAGACACTTATCCAGCATTTAAACCTGAGCAGAGTGTAAGCAGAGCATATTCCTGGTGATTTTGAATCTTTTTGTTTTCAGACGTTACAGGCATTTTTTTTGTGTATCAATCTTCAGGAGTTGTTTCCAATGATTGGAAAGGGGAGGAGAGCAGTTCTGCAGGAGGAGAGGAATTCTTTAGGCGTAAAAATGTGATTCCCAGGCATTCCCACTGAAGTCTATGTAGACAAAGATGCCTGACTATGATAAAGGAAAACGCTAATTTACTTTTTTGAGTGTAGGGTGTAGAGCAGAGGTCTCCAGACTTTCTAAGCAAAGGGCCATTTTACTCTCCTTCAGACTTTAGGGGGTCCAGGATTGTGCCCAGTGAGAAAAAACAATGTCCCATCTTTGGTATTAGGGGGAGAAATAGTTAATGTCAGTGGGAGAAAGAGTGCCCCATCATTGATATCAGTGGCAGGAATTACAGTATGTCCCATTGTTGGTGTCAGTGGCAGGAATTATGTCCCATTGTTGGTGTCAGTGGCAGAAAATTATGTCCTAATGTTTGTATCAGTGGCAGGAATAATGCCTCAAGGGCTGATAAAGGCAAGCAAATGGCCACATACAGCCCTCGGGCATCAGTTTGGAGATCGCTAGCATAAAGCATAGGGCAGAGTGTACAAGTGTGAAAAGGGACCATTAGAAATAATTGGATTCTGCCTAGGCAGACATGGTCAGACGTAGTCAAGTGTAGTGAGGTGTAGGAAAAAAAGCAGAAAATGCTCAGGTGTAAATGGGGGTTTAAGTATAAAATTTTCTAAAATAATATATTTGTCAAATGTATTTATTTCTACTTTCTATAATCTACACACATGTACAGTATATACAGACCCTGAAAAACAAAAAGAGATTTCACTTTTCTGCTCTATTCTTCCTCCAAAACTCTAGATATGCAAAAATGGAAAATTTGGTAAAATGTCCCACCATTAATGATGTTTTTGCCACATCCCATGTATGAATACCAAGAAAAAATATAGAGCTATCCCCTGGGACTTTGTATGGCAGGTTTTGATAAAAATGAATCAAAAGAGATGACCTCCAGTACAATGATTCATAATTCACATTTAGCAAAATATACAATGTGCATGAGACCTTACCGTCTGTGTGACCTGACAAGAGGGCTGATAACCAAAAAAAGCTTGAACAATGAATGGGCTCTTGTGCCTGTGCAAAACGTGGCCCGCATGGTTACATATATGTGAACCAGGGGTAACTGCCACTGACATCCCCAGTGACACTAATACAGTGATCAGTGGTTATAAAAAGCACTGAGACTGTGCTAATGACACTGGACAGGAAGGGGCAGGGGCGGACTGACCATTTGGGAACTCGGGCACTGCCCGAGGGCCCAGGGTCAGTAGGGGGCCCCATGAGATGCCCCTAGTACCTTTCATAGGCTTTTTTGAGTGTGGTTTGAGGGTGAGTAAGGACACAGGGGCCCCATGATCCCCTATTGCCTGGGGGCCCCATGAGTTGTCAGTCCGCCCCTGTTCGGAGCTCATGTTTCCTTCTTCAGAGAATAAATATGTCAGGTCTAAACCATAGCAAAATATCAAGTAAATGTAAATGATATAATACACAATATCATCTAAAAAGCATGTGCGAGGAGGCTGCTTACTCATACACTCACAGATTGTACCACATCAAAGAAAGAAACATGAGTTCCGAAACGCGTTGGAATGTCTGAACGATATAATTGTTCAGCTTTTTTGGGTTGTCAGCCCTCTTGTCAATTGATGTAACACAGACGGTCAGGTCTCATGCACATTGTATATTTTGCTAAATGTGAATTATGAACTGCAGTTCAACTCTATTGAATCTTTTGATTCATTTTTATCGAAACATATTTTGTGATAAACATTTATTGTTTTATATTTTCGTATTTGTGTTTTTTGCCATACAAAGTCCCAAGGGGATAGCTCTCTATTTTTTCTAGATATGGGGATGCCATAGCCTGTTCCAGTTAACATACATATATTACTAAGGCTCAACATAGCGTAACTAAATGGTGTGATCTACCTCTGGCGGTAATTATTAGATTTAATTTAATACCTAACTAGGGACTCAACAGAAGCCTGTGTCACTAATGAAATATAAGATTTTAAGCTACTACAGAAAGTGATGGATTTGGCAGCAATTATGAGAACAGTTTTGTAGAAGTGTAAATTGCTTGTGATAAGTAATATAAACACACAGATTGTTAACCTTTTCATTCATTTTGTTTTGAATCATAATAAATGTTGACAGATTTGGTTAGCTTTTACTTTTAGACGAGAGACAGATCCCCTGTATTAGGATTTGTTATTTTGTTGTGTTATTGCATAGTGTTGCACCGTAGAACCCATGTTCAGTAATGAAGGCATATATCCCGATATTTAGGGTAGGTTCACACCACAATGTGTGCATACCCAAGGCATTTTTGTGTGTGCTGCAATGCATTTTGCATTTTTTACAGACACATTCCTATGCTTATACAAAACCTATGCTGCGGTATAGGGAGATGTACTGCAGTGCGTTGCAGTAAAATTGAGCTCATTTATTTATCAGCGCACAACACAGAAAGTTGGTGTGCACTGACACCATGAGCCCTGGTTCACACTGATGTGGTGCGGAATTTGCAGCATTTTCTGTGCGAATTCCGCACTGCATTAGAATCGCACCCCGTTCATGCATAACACTGCGGGTGGGTATGTTAAGTTAACAACACCCCAAAATCAGTCTGAAAAATGTGGTGCAATGTGCAGAATCGGATCGTATAGGGTGTGAATACCTATGCGATCCGATTCTAGTGCGGGCCCAAAAAAGGGTCCTGCACATTTTAGAATAGAGAATAAAAAATGTATGGCTCCAATCGCACCGCACACAAATCGCATGTGATTTGCACAGGAATGCAGTTGCGGTTCCTGTGTGAATCACATGCGATATACCGCACCACACATATATAAACCCAGGCTAAAGGGCAAGCCTTTTTGGACTCCAGAACTGAATAGAACAGTGCATCCAGTCTGGACAAGCCCTTAGCCACAGTGGACAATTGGCTGGAAACACCTATTTGTTAAATCACATGTCTAGAATTTGACAATACTTTAAACAGATTATCGTGATATACAGTATCTTTTCCAGGTTTCCAAAAATAAGTGAAATGTAAGGTCTTGTCCATATGGGCGTATTTGAGTGTACACCCATGTGATATCTGTTTTTTGCCTGCACAGGATGCATAGGTGTTCCATGCACCAGCATGCAGGCAGTGCCATTCATGTTACTTGGAATGCAGCAGCACCTGTAAGGGTGCAGGTGCCCCCCCCCCCCGAACACAGACAGTATAAGTTCGGGGGCATACACCTGCTCTCACACTGATGTCAAATTGGGAGCATCAGCTGTGTCCTTGTAGCCCCTGCATCCCAATTAACACGAATGTGACTGCCTGTGCACTTAAGTACACCCATGTGAACAAAGACTGAAGCTTGCAGAAAAATGACCAAGTTCCAGAAAACAAGCACAAAACATAATATTTACCCTATTGTTTTTTCTTGTTTCTTTTTTTGACAGAATTCTCATCGCATTCCATTTTATTCCTTTAACCACTTGCCCTCCAGAAGATTTACATCCCTTCTTTGCGATACGGTGCTGCTTTATTTTAACTAAAAATTTCACGATCATGCAATGCTGTAGTTATTTGACAGTTATGCAATTTCTTTTCCACAAATAGTGCTTTCTTTCAGTGGTATTTGATCACCTCTGCATTTTTTGCGCTATAAAAAAAAAAAAAAGACCGACAATATTGACAAAAGAAACAATCAATTTTTACTTTTTGCTATAAAACATATCCAATAAAAAAATTTAGAAAATCACATTTCTTCATAAATTTAGGCCAAATCGTATTCTTTTACATGTTTTTTGCTAAAAAAATACCAATACGTATAAATTAATTGGTTTACATGAAAATTATAGCATCTACAAATGGTGGTATATATACTGGAATTTTTTTTTTTTATACTGGTAATGGCAGCAATCAGCGACTTACAGCAGGACTGCTGGGAACTGACTCAGCCCTGGTTCACATCTGTGTGGGTGGTGCCGCTGCGGATCTGCACGAAAATCCGTGTAGCCGCAACACCCGCACAGAGGAATGTGGACCCGCGGGTGGGTGCCATTAGTTCTAATGGCACGCCACCCGCACTGGAAAAAGCAACCGTACTGGGAACCAAGGTTCCCGTGCGGGCTGAGTTTTCAGAAGAAGTGCAGGGACTTCTTCCCTGTGTGTCACGGGGCACGGGAGTCCATTCAAATGAATGGGCTCTCGTGCCTGTGCAAAACGTGGCCCATATGGTTACATATTTGTGAACCAGGGGTAACTGCCACTGACATCCCCAGTGACACTAATACAGTGCTCAGTGGTAATAAAAAAGCACTGAGACTGTGCTCATGACACTGGACAGGAAGGGGTTAAGATCTTGGGCATTCAAAGGTTAACTGTGTGCTGGTGTGTGTTTTACTGTGTGCACTGTGCTGTGTTTTACTAGGGAGACAAGCTGTTTTGTATGTCTTTGCTGTGCAGAGAGATACAAAGCAGCATGTCCATGCTGACAGGAAAGAGACCTGTGTTGTTTACACACAGGGCTCTCCCCTGTCAGCTTTCCCCAACGATCGCCAAGTGCCGGCCAGGAATCGCCGGCTGGGACCCGGTGATTGACATCTCCAGCGCCAATAGCCAATAGATGCAAAATATATATACACATGATTTTGCAAAGCCCTGCTGCCCTGTAGCAGCGATTAAAGGATATGTAAAACCAACATTTCATATTCCTGATATGTGCCTGCTGTACCATGTATTAGTATTGCTTCCGTTATGTAAAATCCCTGGTGTTACTGCCTTTCCCTCTGCTTTCTCATTACAAACTGACCACACTAGGTAGGAGAGCACCGTATGGTCAATTTTCTGCTTGTGCTGAAATCTTAATCTTCTCTCCTCCAATGATCAGGCTTGTGCTGATATGCCCCCCTCCCTGCACAGCCATTCACTGTGAAGATCAGTGTCCTGCTGTTTCTCCTCCCTCAGCTCTCTGAGCTCCTTATGCAGATGAGAACCGAGGGAATGTGATCACTTATAAAAAAGGGTATTTTTATGTGTATACACAAATATTTTGCCTTTCATTTCTATTTTAAGCTGAATAAGTTGCTTTATAAAGTAAGGATTTACATTTACTTTAAGTCTCTTTCACATGAGCTTAGAGATGCAGCACAATGAACATGGGCAACTTGGCTATATTGTTAACCGAGTTTCATTTGTGTTACATCACATTAAAAGATGCCCAAATGCCACCTCTGGTTTTCATGGATTTTTTTTTTCACAAGGGGAAGTGAATGTTGTAAATGCTTCAAAAAACATGTGTGCCTATAGTATTTTTTATGCGTTCAGCATGTATTTTTGATGCATTGCAATTGAATTCAATGGGGACAACAGGTTGATGCAAAGCCTACAGAACAAGACATGACCTAAAATTCTGGATACATGTCTAAGGGCTCTTTCACACGAGCGGGGTTTGGGGGGGAACCAGCGGCTGGGGGCGTACACTTGGCATGCCCTTGGCCGGAATTATACCCCCCTTAACTTTCAGTGGGCACCAATGAACACAAGCCCAAAGTGAAGAGACACTACCTAGCTTGTTCGCATATGGCATGAGAATAATAAAAACACAGTTAAATTGCTGGTTTTTTTGCCTTTTTTAGGTCCATATAAAACAGGAACATCTGTCACACTAAAAAGAGACCACATCTTTGTTGTTTAGTAAACCACAGACAGATTCTTTATTGAAAAAAAAAATGCCCTCATTTTACATATCATTACTGAGGCTGATTTATGAAAAACTGGATAAAAAATGACAAGTCTAACCAATCAGAATCCTTATTTATTTCTTTTTTACATGAATGGTGAAACCTGGTTGGTTGCTATAGGCACCAAGTTCAATTTTGTTCTCATCTTAGTTTCTCTAACTTTAACCACTTGCCCTCCTGAGGATTTACCCCCCCTTCCTGACCAGGCCATTTTTTGCCTTATGACGCTACGTTACTTTAACTGACAATTGCGGAGTCATGCAAATCTGCACCAAAATTACATTTATGTCCTTTTTTCCCACGAATTGAGCTTTCTTTTGGTGGTATTTGATCGCCCGTGTATTTTTTATTTTTTGCGCTATAAGCAAAAAAAGACCGACAATTTTGAGAAAAAAAAACTGTATTTTGGACTTTTTG